TGTTTAAAAACTGTGACATTTGCTTAATGACCCCCGCAAAAAAGGTTGTGAAATTGAACATATAGTGAACCACTTAACAATTTCTAGCTGTAGTTCTGGGCTCAGTTTTGGTCATTAGTTGAAGACTACCTCTATGTATCTATCATTCTCTCTGCCTTTTATCTACTGTATCTACCTACCTATCTACTTGTCTCACCAATCATCTATCATAAATGTCAAGCAGTTATTTGTACAATTTTTATTCATTATTTATTTGATTACTATAGTTGCCCATCTCAACAAGCGGCTCTGGGTGGCATACCTGTTTTGATTGGAATACTTTTTAGCATGTTAGAAGCTGCAGTGCTCCTTCCCATATCATTTTAATAATATGCTCTGGACCTTTTTCTGAGTTTATAAAGCTTGTATTATGAATTTTCTTTAAAAACTTTGGATTTGGGGATTTGGAGACAGAATGAGAGAGATAAGGGGAAGGGAAAGGAGAAGGAATGGACAGAAAGTTGATAGAGACTGGTTGATACATTAAAAAAAACAATTTTCAACATATACTTGCATTGTCCTCACTTTACTATAGAAGCAAATATTTGAAGTGCAGATTTTTGCATGCCACTTTCTTAACTTCTACCACTTTTCTACAATTTGAAATCCTGGAAAATATGATGTACAAAATAATAGAAAGAAGTAGATTCAAGTTAGCATGCATATCGCCACAGGCCCTCATCACATGAATTATTTGAAAATCTAAATAAGGCTCTTAAATATTCAGGTCCTCTCCATGTATATAATAATAATACATGAACGACAGCCAATAATTAGCATCTTCCCTTGAGTCATCATTTTGTACTAGCTTCTGTTGCTGGAATTCAGGGTTTTCCTTAAAGCAGATTAAATGCTATGAGTCTGAAATGTGGTAGGACACATCTGTTGTAGCACAATGCTAAACAGAATTTTATATTATATGTGTAACTGAATCTGAGATATGAGTGAGACGTTTAGCAAAAACACATAATCAGTCCAACTGTGGCCATCAGTACTTCTCAGCTTGTGCTTTGATGACGTTTTTGGATGTTCCTTCAAGTAAAAAGAATATTTGTATATAAAAAGAAATCTTCACAGGGTAAACTAGCATCCTGGGAAGCAGAGTTCTGAAGCAATGAATTCATTGGGATGATAATTTAATAGCACAGAGGAAGAAAATGTATATCACCCTACAACTTCTATACATTTAATAAAGCTTCTCTCTTGATCTATTTACATTTTAGTTTAATGGAAAATACAGAGCAAGGAAACCATTCTACTGAATAAGAGTTATTTCTGGGCCAAATTAATGTAGTTACTCTCCTACCTGTTCACACGCCCCCATTCTCTCTTTTTCCAGAAGTTTTTTAGTCTCCCTTTCCCAGTAGGCCATCAGTGCTTCCCGGCTAAAAGTTCCTGTGGGAGTTTTCTCTGTTAGACTCTTTTGCCTATGCCCCACAGGAAGGCTCCGGTCAGGCTCAATATCCTCCAACTCTTTCTCCAGCTCCTTCAGCTCCTCATCAGTAAGAGAAGCAAGGAGTTCATCTTCATCCAGCTCTTCATATTTACTAAGCTCTCGCCTGTAGCCAAAACCAGACATGGTCCCTTCTGTTATGAGGCTGATATAAAGTTGAAACTACAATGCAGCATTCACAGAGACTGAAACCAAGGCGCCTTCATCTGCTTTGGTTGGCAAATGTTCACCCCTCCAGTAACTGCAGCACCTTTTAAAAATATTCCTAGGGGGTTGCGACAATGCACGGAAGGATGAAAGCATGCTCTGTTTTAAGCATCAGACGTCAGCAAGAGTTGAGCAGAAAGAATGTCCCAATGCACCAGTGTCTTATGTCTCTTAAACACAGGGATTACTGACACGCTGACAAGAACCATATTTAGAGTGGCTGATAAAGGGAAAATGAATGCTCATCTGTAGATTTAGAAGCCCAGGAAGATAGTTGTTCATAAAGCAATATAAAGCTTACTTTGACACACAAGACTTTGTATCTACCCAAGCAACAAAGACCAGGTAACGAAAGGGGTGCTTTGTTTAGCATGATTAGGATCATTCCAAAGTGGGACAAAATATTTTCTTAGCTGGGCCACCCCTCCTTTTCATAGCCCAATAGTAAGAGAATGGATAATAACTGTTCAGCTTGAGATTTACTAATTTTGATAATTTTAAGATGGAAATAGGTAAATCTTAAAAATAGGAAAATCCATGTTCCCTGTATTATGGAATATGTCACTAAATTAGGCAAGGATTTAAACATAAAAATATAGTAACTCAGGTACAATATATTTTTTTCTTTTAAAAATATCAAGATATGGAAGTAAATCTGAATTTGACAACTGGTCTTTTTTGAAATTGTTAAAGATGCATAACGGGACAATAATATTGCTATGATAGAAATCATTTTGTACGGATTGACTTGCTACTTAAAAATATCTTATATGAAAGGACATAATGTGCATTTCCCTGCATTAATCTAAAAATTAAAAATAAGTGGGGGTTGGAAATGCCTGCATTTCTGTGAATATTTTGTGGTTCATAGATTCTAAGCATTATCAGTAGAATAATTAAATACAAGTTTTGAGAAAAATGCCCATGGTTTAATTATTTCAATTAGTTTCAACTATGTTTGACTCTCAGGTGCACTGTGTTCTGAGTCTGCTTTTCTGTCTTTTTCATACAAATATACAGTAAATATAAGGCATTAGTAATAGGCTAAATGATTTTCCTGTAATTGCAGATTCTCTAAATAACACTGAAAGGGTTGCATACATTTAATTAGATTAAGCAAACATCTGTAGCAGCAGTATTAAATGGTGGTTGACTACACTTGATTTGTTTCTAAAGACTTTCATCTTTCTTCTTTAAAACATACATACAAGAATCTGGATTATCTTTAAAATGAGGTAAGCCATGGCTCATATACATTACTAAGTCATTTTTCTGACAGCTGACTCTCACAATCCAATATTTCTATTACTTTTCTGTGAAGTTTGATTAAAGCCTGATTTTTAAACGGGCATATTGCTTTGGCCCATATAATCCACAGAGAGGTTTAATTTTTATTCTGTTGTTTTGTGCAGGTATCTGGATGCCTACAACTGCAGAGCAAAATTCTAGAGAAACAAGATATTGGCAGCTATTAGAAATAGCGTATAAAAGAAAAGACGATGAGATGTAATAAAATCATGAGTAAAACAATAAAATATCATTTAAATGACAATAAATATATTAATGTGCTCCAGCTAGAAGAATGCTAATAGTAGTAAACATTCTTCTGTTTATGGGTAAATTCTTTGAAATGTATAGGCTTGTTGGCATCATTCAAATTGGAGTTGTTAAGTATAACAGTTACCTAAGGTGGTGATGTCTTTTTAAAGTAAAGTAAACATAAGCCTAGTCCAAAATTGTAAAAAAAAAAAAAGAAGAAGCTATTTCTATGTTGACAGATGGTGTTCTGGAGATAGCTATTTTTGTGTTGGAACAATGAGCATGGCTCCTTCATGCCTTCCTGGAACAAATTTCCCTTAAGTTGGCAGAGTGATCTGGTTTCAAAAAGATGAATGCAATTTTAAGATACATTCAAAATCCCATTGCAAAAATGTCAAAAGATCACATAACCGTGTTTTCCTCTGCTTCACACAGACCTCATCTGGAGTTTTAACACAACTTTATGTATCACAAGTTTCATAAAATTAAATATAAATAGCAAGGGTGAAATCAACTTACCTTCGCTATTGGTTTGCAAACGTGAGTGCACATGCCACCTCTGCACATGCACAAGACCTCCTGTGCATGCGCAGAGCGTAAAAAATGGGACGTGATGACGTCCAGGCAAGTGGGAGGAGCCTCCTGCCGCCACTGCTACTGGTTCGCCCAAAATGGATAGAACCACTGAATAGATACATCTTTGGAGAAAGAGTGACACTACAGAGAACATGTCATAGGGAGGAAAGTTGGAGGAAGAGGTTATATTCAACAGGTAGAAGAGAAAGCTAAATGAGGCTCTGATAAAACTG